CTTCCTCAACACACACATATAAGCAAGAGATGATTCTTGTCAAGACTTACAAAATCATATACTGTAACAATGTAGCCTCTGAATGATAATAATAATAATGATGAAGTTGTGTTCCTGACTCAAAAGTATCAGTTCCTGTTTAATAGAGTAGTCCTTACTTTGAAAGTCGTGGTGCCACAAACTTCATTAAACATGTGGAGGACAAAGTTTCTCATGCCAGGACAAAGTTTTCGCCCTCTAGTCAACTTTCACCATCATTTATTTATTTATTTATTTACGGTATTTCTATCCTGCCTTTCTCAGCCTGATGGTGACTCAAGCGGCTTACAAACTGGCAGCAATTTGATGCCACAACAGTCATTAAATACAGTTAAAAACATTTGGCACAACATTATAATAATCCATACAAAAAACCCCATTAAAAACATAGAATCACCAGTGTCTTCCTGGTAAACTAATTTTTCCAGTAGCATTTTCCCAGTAAGATAAAAGCAATGCGGAATAGATATGTATGATCCAGGCACAAAACTCTTATGAATAATGCGCAGATTTGCATCTGTTCATCTAAAGTTTTTTTTTAAAAAAACACAGAAATTTCTGGTGGACACCCCATGGCGGCCATCTTGCGGGCTTCAAAATCCCGTAACAAAGAAGCAAGTCTGGACGTTGTAGGCAGAAATCCCAGGACCAACATGTCTGTGTGCAGGCCTGCTCTCAGGACCTGGGTTGTTTTGCCCCTCATGGAAAACCCATGATTTGGTGCTGTCACTTATCATGGAGCCATAGCATTTTAAATGGTATCAGATTGCAATACAATAACTCTGTTTGTACAAATACTTGTGGTAGAGGTAGTGGCATTTCCCCCTAAGCCTAGCAAATATATGATTAAATGGCTAAGGAAGGAAGGAAGGGACAGGGATGGAGGAATTTTGGTTGATGAACTTAATGGGATCATAGGAGATTTGAAGGAGTCCCTGCCAGTTCCCTAACACCCAACCTTCTGACTAAAATAATACTTCACCATCACAGAAAGTCAGACACAGCTTATCAGTTGCGAATGGGAGTAGCTGAGCATGGGAAGGAGAATCTCTGTGTTATTTGTGATCTTAAGGAGAGCTCCTCACCCTGGTCATTGCTCCCTCCAACATATTTGAGAAGTTTCAGCACGGCTTCATTTCTGGCCTCGTCAAATGGTTTTTCAGTGAGCTCGACTGTAGCAAACTTTCCACCTTCGTATGTCCTTTCTTCATAGGATACTTCATCCTGGTAAAACACAGTCATCAGACAAATAAATTCCCTGATAGACATAAGAACGATATGTCTTGAAAGAAAAAAGTCAATCTCCACAACAAACACTATGTTTGTTGGTCCATTGTATATAGGAAACCCTGCTGTTCAAAGATGTATGACTACCATATTCAATATGTACTTTTAGAAGGAGAGAAATTACCAATCAATGACACAATTGTTCTACACATTACACTTTCCCCCACCCAGGGGAAAGAAAATGCATATCTCCACATACTGGTCAGATAAGAAAGAGAATGAGACCCAATTATTCCCTCTAATAGCAACACTTTGCTTGTGCTCAAAATGTTACAAATAACTGAGGGCTCCTCCAGATGGGTCAAATTGGTTGAGAGGTTGTGGTGTTTGTCTTCATTCTTGGGGCTGGGGGAGGAATAATTTTTTCAAAAGCCATCTTTCACAATATTTCTGGTCTCTTGGACAATTTTCTGGCAATTCCAAGAACTAGGCGTAACAATTTATCCCCACTCTCGAATGAGTTCCTTTTAAATTGGGAGGTGTATCGAAACAATGTTTGACCCTGTCTTCTTTCCTTTTCTCCCCACTCTCTCTTTCTCCATCATTATAGTGCTATAGTTCATCAGTGAAATGGCCCATTGCACTATAACTTTGCAAATTTGGAAAAAAACTGGAGAAGATATATGTATCTTTTACACCACAGAACTACCTTGCCAAACTCTTGTCCTAGGTTTTTTTTTTCCTGGGAGGGGAGGATCTCTGGAAGAGCCTAGTGCAGATCCAAGGGATCCCAACAAGCAGTCCTCCAAAAGAATGAATTGAGAAAGTGAGGGAGAGCTAATAGACTGCAAATTCCAAGGAGCTACAAGGAGAACTCTTTAGGCCAGTGGTTCTCAACCTGTTGGTTGCCAAATGTTTTGGCTTTCAGCTCTCAGAAATACTAACAGCTGGTAAACTGGCTGGGATTTCTGGGAGTTGTAGGCCAAAACACCTGGGGACCCACAGGTTGAGAACCACTGCTTTGGGACAACCTGGGAGAACTATGAGAAATTAGGTGATAGGTCAGTCCCTGCAGCAGCGCAATGAGGAATACAAAGGCTGACTGGCAATTAATGTAAATTGGAATCGAGAAACAGTAGAGAAGAACAGAGAACATGGCTGGCTGGTACCCTGAACAGAGGTGGTTCCAGAAAGATGTGGGGTAGGTAAGAGGAAACTCCATCTCCCACTTTATCTCTGCCTGCCCCATATATATGGGTGGAAAAGGTGGGAGTTGTAGTCCAACATATTAGAACAGTGGTTCTCAACCTTCCTAATGCCGCGACCCCTTAACACAGTTCCCATGTTGTGGTGACCCTCAACCAGCAAATTATTTTCATGACAACTTCACAACTGTAATTTTGCTACTGTTATGAAGCATAATGTAAATATCTGAAATGCAGGATGTATTTTCATTCACTGGACCAAATTTGGCAAAAATACCCGATACACCCAAATTTGAACACTGGTGGTGTTGGGTGGGGGATTGATTTTGTCATTTGGGAGTTGTAGTTGTTGGGATTTATAGTTCACCTACAATCAAAGAGCATTCCAAACTCCAAAAATGATGGAATTGAACCAAACTTGGCACACAGAATTCCCATTACCAACAGAAAATACTGGAAGGGTACACCTACATCCTGAGATCACTGTGGACTTAAACAATAATGAATCTGGACCAAATTTGACATGAAAATCAATATGCCCAAATGTGAACTCTGCTGGAGTTTGGGGAAAATAGACCTTGACATTGGGAGTTGTAGTTACTGGGATTTATAGTTCACCTACAATCAAAGAGCATTTTGAACCCCACCAAGGTTAGAAATGGGCCAAACTTCCCACACAGAACCTCCATGACTAACAGAAAATACTGTGTCTTTGGCGGCCCCTCTGACACCACCTCGCAGCCTCTCCAGGGGTCCCGACCCCCAGGTTGAGAAACGCTGTATTAGAAGGACACATTAGGTTGGAGACACACTCAAGAAGAAGCTAGACTTGAATGTTGCAATTGGCCACTTTGATAAGCATTGATCACTGCATCTTGTGGTAATGAATTCAATCCATTATGCACTGGATGAAGAAATAACTTGTTATCTGTCCTGGTTCCACAGGCAAATTTATTTTTGTGAGATTACCCCAAGATTAGTGCTGCATGAGAGAGGGATAAATGCATCCACATCCATCCCGTTTTTCAAATCTCTGTCTCAGCTTTCCAAAAGTCAGTGCCCTCCATATACTTTAAACTACAATGGTCATCCTGGGCAGAGATGACAGAAAATGTAGTCCAGCATAGCTGGAGGGTGCCTGGGCAGTTTACTGTTACATATATTTCTCATTATACTATCACAATTTTATGTCAGTCTCTTTTGTAACAGCTTCTTGCATTGATTTTACCCTTTTCGTTGCTGCTGGCAAATTGTGCAAATGTTTTCATCATAGTCTTAAACCACAATGTCAGTCTAAGGTATGTCATAGCTCTTATAACAACCCAGACAAAAATGTTCATGAGATTGTATACATTTCAGGTTGCAAAAATCAGTTGCTTTTAAAACATGTCAAGAGTGATTGCTAGTTACAAATGTGTATTTGCTTTCATTATTTACATGTAAATGCATAAGGCCATCAAATAGACCTGCCACCAGCTAGTCTATAAGTACTCTTGGTCATTGTTTCAACAATACAAGATCAAGGCAATAGCAGTTGTTAAACAGGTTCTTTCACCTGGGCCTCCTGAGAGCTGTGAGTGTGGATTTGACAAGCTATTGAGAAGAGAAAGGAGATGATAAAGGACAGGCACAGATCATATAATCTTAGCACATGATGTGCTGCTGCTGTAGGGTTGCTGGTTATTCTGGAAATACACAAGACTCAAACACAAGATATAGGCTTTGCTCCATTGTTTCTGTAGAACGACATATCAGGACTGAAGTAATTTCTTTTTTTTTAATGTTGCCGAGTGAAATAGAAATTCAAAATACAGGGCTGGTATGGTATTCTAGCTAGCACACTGGGCTTTTATGCTGCAATCCCACTGAAGTTGAAGTTCATAAGGCAGGACCACAGGTAACATATGATTAGAAGAGTCCTGTTAGATCAGACCAGAGAGCCTAACTAATTCCAAATCCTGCTATTTTCCAAGAGCCCACTGGATACTTTTGGGAAGCCTGTGAACTGGACAAGAAAATAATTTCCCTCGCCTGCAACATCTATAACAAATCCCTTGGCTTTTGAATCTTTAGGTGGTCATGTCTATACTTATTTATTTCATGTCAAAAGCATTCCATACATAAATATAAAAACTGATAAAAATAGAAGAAGCACAAGTGGCTAAATAATTTTGACCAAAACCAGGCAGCAGTGATTGTATTGTCTGTAGCTTTAAACAATTTTTCCTCTGTACGTGAGGTTGGGCATTGTGGACAAGCATACAGGTGCGGAGTTGTTTGTTCTGCTCCACAGTTGCATAAGGTGGAGGATTCTTTTAGGTAGTTCCATTTTGCCAGGTTGTCTTTTGATCTGCCCACTCCACTTCTGAGTCTATATCTATTCTAAAACAATTATAGTAGTTTTGTGAGATATTTGCCCTTCTCTGCCAGAGAGCTCTGGTGACACAACAACTACAAATCCCAGGATTTCCTGGGATTAAGCTATAGCAGTTAATATAGTATCAAAAAACAGACTATCAAAAGTGCCAAATACAGATGCACTGCTTGTTTTAAAGAATTGATTTATTTTAAAAATCTTAAACAACACAAGACAACTCGTGCTATCTATTTAAAATGTTCCTGCATTTAGACCATTCATTTTAATTTTGAGGGGCAAAAGGGAGGCTTTCACCTCACACAATTGTAGTGCTGTGATTCCATTTTAACAATAATGGTAAAATCGGTTAGAAACTTGGGATTCATAGTTTAGTGACGTGTGAGAACTATGTGACAGAAAAAAACCAAACACCCATCTCTAAAATGCAAATCCTATGATTCCACAGGATGGATCCATGGTAACAAAAATGGAATTATAGCACGGCAATGTGTTGTGCAAAAGATGGTCTGAGGAGCCCAAGAGGGTATTGGGAGGGCTCAAAACAGCCTTGGTGCCACTGCTGTTCTATGGGCTTGAGCAGTTCGAACAATTGTCATTGCATATTATATTCATCTTTGCATCTTGCTCCCTAAAAGGAAGGGGGAAAATATGATTATAAATGAGAAGTGGAAGAGGAAAATATGCATATTGGTCTTGATCAGAATAGGAGGAGGGGATGCTTCCAGCTGTGAAACAGCAAGCAACTTGCATGTTTTTCTTTGTGAAAGGAAGAGTTATGACTTATGGTAGCCATAACACTGCTTAAGCTAATATCATATGCCACTTGGCCCTAGCACTGAGCTCTTCACTTATTACTCTTCAGCCTGAAATTAGTTTCATACAGGGAGGAGAAAATGGAGACATTACAACACATGCCGTTTTATTTTTATTGAATGGCTGTAGCCACAAGACTACCCAAGGGAGCTGTAGAGGATTTATGAGATGCTTTTCGCTACAAGTCTTGATGTGTAAAATGCTATGGCAAACCACATGGTTTCTCTGCAGATAATTGTGTATAATTATCTCTACCACAAACATAACTGGCATGCTGCCCTGCATGTTTCCTGGGGATATTTTGTGCTTTCCCATCTGCACCCCAGGCAAAATTCAGCAGGTGCTGTTCAGGTCATCATCTCCAAGCTGAGAGTTGGTGGCCTGCCATAAAAAATGATAGCAAGCCTAATGCCAAATTACTGTGGGACTAGATTGTGCTGTAAGGATATATATATGAGTCAGCTTCTCCTTCATCCAACTCTGTGGAGATTTTTTTTCTCCAAGATTTTGTGCAGGGCACCTGCCAAGTAAAGCAAATGCTAGTGACCCAAATTGGGCAGAGTTTCACAGTGGAATGGCAAGATGCCACACACATCCCCGCCGGGACCCCTTAGGTACTAATGGAAGTGATGCAGGATGGTGACCTTCTCAGTGTTAGCACCCCGCTTATGCCATGCCCTTTTCCAGAAGTTCATCTGGCACTTTCATGATAGCCATTTCAGTGTCAGGTGAGATAAACCTTTCTTATTTTCCCAGGCCAGTAGAAGTTGTGGGATGTTTTGATCCTGTGTATTTTATCTGTGTGATTTGGCTGATGCTCTAAACCAAGTTATGCATGGGATATTTTAAGGTTATGATATAATGCATTACTAAAGGGGTATGTTTGGCTTTATATTTTATTTTATTAAAAAAACACATGGTGAAACAGCCAGAGAACTTGGGGGTGGCTTGTACAAATGTTGTATGAATGAAGAAAACTATGTGGGTGTTTCCATTTACAAAAGGCACATCTGGACTTTGGTCTACCTCTGGGAGTTAGGAGCGTTGATATTTATGGGAGGGAACATTTGTGTACTGGGTCAGCCTGTGTCTCAAGCCTCTAGTGAGGAGTCTGGGGATGAGTTGCCTCTGGAGACTTTTCAGAACCATGAGCATGAGGGAATTCAAGACCTAAATCTAGATATAGACCAGTGATTCTCAACCTGTGGGTCCCCAGGTGTTTTGGCCCACAACTCCCAGAAATCCCAGCCGGTTTACTAGCTGTTAGGATTAGTGGGGGTTGAAAGCCAAAACTTCTGGGGGCCCACAGGTTGAGAATCACTGATATAGACTTAGTCCCAGAGCCAGAGGCACCAGAAGAAAATGGAAATGTGGCAACACCTCAGCCTGCAGAGACAGAGGAGGAGCAAAATCAGGGTCAAGCTTTATCTTCATTCTGTAACCCAGCTGCTCCTGTGCAGACCTGTAGCTCACCCGAGTCACCAAAAGAGCAGAGGTGACAGAGGCTAAGATTTGCCTTAAAGGAAAGGCAAGTTAAGGCAGGATGCGGCTTGTAAAAGCTAGGCCCAGTTGTGGGAACAACTTGCATTCGTGTTGTACTCACTGGTTGCATTTCACTGAGATTTCCTAACCCTAATCACTGGTTTGGATTATCGTTGACCTGTTTGCTCCAGCCTTGACTTGTCCATTTGAATTGTGGACTACTCTTTCTCTGGATTATCCTTAGACTTGGCTTAGTGACTTTGGTGAATATTATTCCCAGTATGTTCTTGAACATTGATGTGGCTGTTATTTAACTATTGGGAGACCTGATGTCTGGGGTTAGCCAGCACAGTTTGTTACTTTTGAACATAATTGACCCCAGATGTTATGTAACCTCAGATTATGGCTAGCACATAGTCCAGTAGGAGAGGCCATAGGGAGCATTTCTTGCTCAATGATAACCTCAGAAATCCGGGAGGAACTGGGTTATTTGAATGCCAATACAACCCTGAAAACTAACAGCAACCCAGTGGTTCCGGCCATGAAAGCATTCGACAACACAACTAATCTTATAGATGGCCATAGTAGTGAGAATAAACTATGCTCACAGATGGAAAGATTCAACTATCCTGACACAAGAAGATTGGTTCAGGAAGATGTATGTGTAAACTAGTAGAAACTGAGTGGCTGTTAGGAGTGGTGGGCATTGAAGTCCAGAACACCTGGAGGGCCCAAGTTTGCCTATGCCTGGTATAAAATGTGTATGAAACATCAATGAAATTTGTGCTTAGAATTGGGTTCCAACTCCAAGATCTCTCCCATTATAGACATTTCCAAATCCAAAATCAGTGCTGTTTGGCAGAAAGATCTTGTAAAACTACAACTCAGTGCTATGGACTCATGGGAGCTTTTTAGAAAGTCCTTTTTACCAAGTAGTGCTTGTTGGTGCCTCCCAACTCTCAGGATTCCATAGCATTGAGTTGTGGGAGTTAGAATGGGATTGAAGGGCATTAATCCTACAGTGTGAATCAGGCATGGGCAAACTTCGGTCCCCTAGGTGTTTTGGACTTCAACTCCCACAATTCCTAACAGCCTACCGGCTAGGTTACTGTGAGTTTTCCGGGCTGTATTGCCATGTTCCTGAAGCATTCTATCCTGATGTTTCCCTGCATCTATGAAAGGCATCTTCAGAGATGGCGAGATCTATGTGTTGTCGAAGGCTTTTGTGGCTGGAATTACTGGGTTGCTGTAAGTTTTTTGGGCTGTGTGGCCATGTTCCAGAAGCGTTCTACCCTGATGTTTCCCTGCATCTATGGCAGCCATCCTCAGAGGTTGTGACAACCTCTGAGGATGCCTGCTATAGATGCAGGCGAAATGTCAGAAGAGAATGCATCTGGAACATGGCCATACAGCCTGAAAAACTTACCACAACCTTGTGAGGTCTGTTTGAAACTGAGCAAGTGGGGTTTATATATCTGTGGAATGTCCAGGGTGGGAGAAAGAAGTCTTGTCTGTTTGAGGTAAGTGTGAATCATAGAATCATAGAATCAAAGAGTTGGAAGAGACCTCATGGGCCATCCAGTCCAACCCCCTGCCAAGAAGCAGGAATATTGCATTCAAATCACCCCTGACAAATGGCCATCCAGCCTCTGCTTAAAAGCTTCCAAAGAAGGAGCCTCCACCACACTCCGGGGCAGAGAGTTCCACTGCTGAATGGCTCTCACAGTCAGGAAGTTCTTCCTAATGTTCAGATGGAATCTCCTCTCTTGTAGTTTGAATGTTGTAACTGATTAGCATTGAATGGTCTTGCAGCTTCAAAGCCTGGCTGTTTCCTGCTTGAGGGAATCTTCTGTTGGGGGGTGTTAGCTGGCCCTGATTGTTTCCTGTCTGGTATTCCCCTGCTTTTTTAGTGTTGCTCTTTACTGTCCTGATTCTAGAGTTTTTAAATACTGGGAGCTAGATTTGGTCCATTTTCATTGTTTTCTCCTTTTTTGTTGAAATTGCCCACATGCTTGTGGATTTCAATGGATTGTCTGACATGGTGGTTGTTCCCAGCTGTTAGGAATTGTTGGCGTTGAAGTCCAAAACACATGGAGGGCCGAAGTTTCCCCATGCCTGGTGTAGCTGCACCCTTAAGGCAACTTTTCCAGGGGCTGGTATGCCGAACCATCCTCCCCAGATCCCAATCGTGGGAAGACAAGAGAAAGGCCCTCCCTCGCGTTTCCTACCTTCTCCCCTTGGCTCAGCACCCGGCAGGGCCAGACCTCCGCCGAGCCAAACAGGGAGTTCTTGATCATGCCAAACATGGTGGAGCGGGGCTAGCTTGGCCGCAACCCTTCCGTCCAGCGGGGCTGTCGCTCCTCTTGCCGCTGGCACCCGGGGAAAGGGACTGACAAGGGAGAGGAAGGAGGAAGGACTCCGCCCCGGTGGGCCCAGAGGTTGGGCAGCTGCAGGCTCAGCCCAAGAGCGGAGGAGGAGGAGGAGGAGGCGGGAGGCAGGCTTTGCCCAACGCAGCTGGAGGAACCACAGACCTGCCCAGGAGGAGAGAGGAGAGAGACGCCCAAGGGGCCCCCTCCTTCCTGCCCTGGTAGTGCTCTTGGATTTTTTTTTTTGAAGCAGAGAGTGTTTGAGGACATCCATAGGGATGCTTGTTTATTAAGCGATTGTCCTCCCAACCCTGCTCTATGCCTGTGAAACGTGGACTGTCTACAGACATCACATGCAAATTCTGGAACGATCCCATCTGCGCTGCCTCCGGAAAATCCTGCAAATCTCTTGGGAAGACAAGCGGACAAATGACAGCGTGCTGGAAGAAGCAAAGACCACCAGCATTGAAGCAATGGTCCTCCGCCATCAACTCCGTTGGACCGGCCACATTGTCCAGATGCCTGACCAACATCTCCTAAAGCAGTTGCTCTACTCCGAACTCAAGAACGGAAAACAGAACGTTGGTGGTCAGGAAAAGAGATTTAAAGATGGACTCAAAGCCAACCTTAGAAACTCTGGCATAAACACTGAGAACTGGGAAGCCCTGGCCCTTAAGTACTCCAGTTGGAGGTCAGCTGTGACCAGCAGTGCTGTAGAATTTGAAGAGGCACAAATGGAGGGCGAAAGAGAGAAACATACCAAGAGGGAGGTACATCAAGCCAACCCCAAACGGGACCGCCTTCCACCTGGAAACCAATGCCCTCACTGCGGGAGACGATGCAGATCAAGAATAGGGCTCCATAGTAACCTATAGACCCACCCTGGAAGATTATCCTACTCGGACAATGAGGGATCTCCTAAATGATGAAATGAAAAATGAATGCTCTTGTGCCAATCCATCAGAGAGGAAAGCCTTGGGGTGCATCTACGCCATCCAATGAATGTCAATGACCCGGTGGCGCAGTGGGTTAAAGCCCTGTGCCGGCAGGACTGAAGACCAACAGGTCGCAGGTTTGAATCCAGGGAGAGGCGGATGAGCTCCTTCTGTCAGCTCCAGCTCCTCATGCGGGGACATGAAAGAAGCCTCCCACAAGGATGATAAAACATAAAAATCATCCGGGTGTCCCCTGGCCAACGTCCTTGCAGACAGCCAATTCTCTCACAACAGGATGCTCCTGACACGACAAAAAAAAAAAAAGGCTCAGTATTATGGGATCTGTGGTTTGGTGAGGCACTATTGCTCTTTGGCAAAAGGAGGCTATTTATTTATCGTGTCAGGAGCAAACCAAAACAGTTGTATTGCATTAAAAACAAACAAATGAAACACAAAGTTTGCAAACTTGGTATTCTATTAAATGTTCTTTGACCAGTAGCTGGCCTCTTGGAGTGCTTCTGGTGTTGCTGCAAGAAGGTCCTCCATTGTGCATGTGGCAGGGCTCAGGTTGCATTGCAGTAACCCTAACACTAACCCTAACCCATTGCTCCCTTGTGCCTTGGTCTCTAGAGCAGGAGAAAGTCAGTTTTCCCCCTCCTCCTCCTCAATGGGACACGCTTTAAAATCTTGAAATATGGTTCTCATGTTCCCTATCTTTTTTTCTCCCAGCTAAACACCCCCCAGGAAGAAAAGGAGGAAGGAAAAAGAGAAGGAAGGATGCGAGGAAGGGAGGGGTGGAAGGGTGGAAAAGAATGGAGGGAAGGAGGGAGGAAGGGAAGAGAGAAGGAAGCAAGGAGGAAAGCTTCAATCCCTGGGTATTCAATTAAAAGAGAGGAACAGGTGCTATTTTTAACACAATTGGAGAACACCTCAAATAATACACTGGGACAAATTGGAATACGTCTCCAAGTGCACGTTGTTGTTGTTGTTGTTGTTGTTGTTGTTGTTGTTGTTGTTAATAATGCACTTTATTTATATTCCGCTTTATCTTCCTGGAGGGACTCAGAGTGGATTACAGTACATATGAGGCAATTCTTCAATGCCTTTTACACAAACAATGACATACAATACACAGATCAGGTAAAGGGCTTCCCTTTTTTAAATTTCTGGTGTCTGGAGGTGATGCTCAACTTCTGGCCATGAGGAAGTGCTGTTATTCTATTTCCCATACCAAAGAGGCCTGCTGTTTGTAGACATCTCTGATCTTGTTGCCAGCATGTCTGCATGGGGCATCCTTTTACCTTCCCACCGAGGCGGTACCTATTGATCTACTCACATTGCATGCGTTCAAACTGCTATGTTGGCAGGAGCTAGGACTGACAGTCAAGGGCTCCCCACGACTCGTAGCTTTGAAGTGTTGCCCKCCCCCCCCCCCCCGGTCAGCAGCCTTTCCTACAGCTAGCAGCTTTAACAGTTGTGCTACTGCAGTTGTTGTTTTGAAACAAGCCCAGTATGTTTCTGCCTTTGTATAAATTCCAGTCACCTTCTGCAGGGCCAACATGCAGTATATCAGCAGAAATGTGTGCAGCTGAAAATCTCCTACCATTTTCCCATTCATATTCTTTCTTTTTTTTCAGTCCAACAAATGAAATGAGATTTTGCGCTCCAGAAAATTCCTCTGCTGGATTGTATACTGACCTTGAAGGCAGCCATTCATGTTTCTATATAGGTCAAAATGTATTGGGCTTTTTTTGGAAATAAAAACAATAATAAACCATAATTGAGCACTTGGAAATGTAGCTTCCCTTTTGTCCCCTTCGATCCAATTTTAAACACATAAGTGGAAAAAGTGATAAATTTTAAATGAAAGTGAATTGAGATGTTGCAATGTATTGGTTTGTTGGACAACCACTCTCATGATCAAGGCTGCCGACATTGCTGGCTTCAGGATTCTAGAAGCTGAAGCTCAGAAGAAGTAACCTAGTAACCTTTCAAAGTGTTGATAAAATCCTGAGTAGAAACTGATATGCAATCAACTCCGGGTGGGAAAAGATTATATGGGGTGAGCACAGATATATATGTTGCTGTACATATGTTGCTGATGTCCAGAAGCCAAGAAAGGCATGATAGGATTAGTGACCAGTTTTGGTTGCATGATTATGAACCTTCCATGTGGTACACAAGTGTTTTGTTTGTTTATTTATTTATTTATTTATTTATTTACAGTATTTATATTCCGCCCTTCCCACCCTGAAGGGGACTCAGGATGGATGACAGAATGCATATACGACAAACAATGCTGGTTGTACAATGACAAGACAGACAAGAAATAGAGGTATGTATTCAGGCTTTCCCAACTTTCGGCATCTTTGGAGCCTGTGCTTAGTTCCGGCCACAGCGGGCGCTGTTGCTCCATCTTCTTGCCAAAGAGCATTTTTCTTTGTTCATAAACTTTCCTCCTTTTTTTTATCGAAACACAGTGCCTAAATATCTCCCCGCTTTAATGCGGTTCCCATTTATCTACTCACATATTAGTTTTCAAACTGCTAGGCTGGCAGAAGCTGGGCTGAAGGATCAGGCACTCACCATGACCTGGGCTTTGAAGTATCAACCATCTGGTTGGCAAGATTTATTGCAGTTTTGTGATTTACCTGCTGCGCTAAAGCCCAGCATGCTAACACATACATATAGACTATGTTTTCAGTGTATTTCTGAAATATTTCGGCATGAATAATTTGAAAAACACTCTGAATCATCTATCCCCATACACAAGATCCATGCTAATATTGCCTGGAGATATCCAGCTTGTTTGACTTCCACATTCTTAATCGGTCATGAACTCAACCGCTGGGAATGTTTATAGCAACAAAGTTTAAGTAGATTGAATTAATAAGGTCATTCTTCTAACCACAGAAGATGTACATAGAAGATGCTCATGGAAGCCTGTCTAGTTCAGCATTGTTCATGTCAAGGATGGCTGACTTCTGGATTGCAGGGTCAAAGCAGGGCTCAAGACATACAGTTCGAAAGAAAGATTTCTGGGCTGAGAAATCTGTCCTGTGTTAATATAAATCATGATCTCTGCCCATTTTATACAGCTTTATTTTTACTGTAAAATAGAATTGAGTTTCAGAAGGAAGATGGTATCACTTGAGTGTAATGGAATAATACTGTTCGGTTGTTGTGAGCTTTCCGGGCTGTATGGCCATGTTCCCAAAGCATTCTCTCCTGATGTTTTGCCTGCATCTATGGCAAGCATCCTCAGAGGTTGTGAAGTCTGTTGGAAACTAGGAAAATGGGGTTTATATATCTGTGGAATGTCAAGGGTGGGAGAAAGAACTCTTGTCTGTTGGAGGCAGGACTGAATGTTTCAATTAGTCACCTTGATTAGCATTTAATGGCCTTGCAGTTTCAAGGTCTGACTTCTTACTGCCTGGGGGAATCTTTTGTTGGGAGGTAATTCTCTGGCCCTGATTGTTTCTTATCTGGAATTCCCCTGTTTTTGAGTGTTGTTCTTTATTTACTGTTATGATTTTAGAGTTTTTTTAGTACTGGTAGCCAGATTTTGTACATTTTCATGGTTCCCCCCCCCCCCTTTCTGTTGAAATTGTCCACATGCTTTTTGGATTTCAATGGCTTCTATTTGTAGTCTGAAATGGTAGTTGTTGGAGTGGTCCAGCATTTCTATGTTCTCTAATAATCTGTTGTGTCCAGGCTCTGCTATTAAGTGCTCTGCTATGGCTGACTTCTTAGGTTGAAGTAGTCTGCAGTGCCTTTAATGTTCCTTGATTCATGTTTGGGTGCTTCCAATATTAGGACCACTGTGGAAAGAGTATAGAATCAGCATTCTTTTCTAAGGTATCTCTATTACATTTACTAAACCCTATAGTGCAAACAACACTTAGAAAAGAATGGTGATTCTATACTCTTTTTACAGTGGTCCTAATACTGGAAGACCTTCTTTGACATCAGAACAAAAGAACCAATGGCAACAATAAATACAATGACATCTTGGATTTAGATCAAGCCCTGTGATGTCACAAAAAATCAGGTAAAAGGTTAGGGCATGAAAATAAAATCTGGGACATTCTTACAAGCAAAATTTTGAATCCATTAGTGCAGTGGTTCTCAACCTGTGCATCCCCAGATGTTTTGGCCTTCAAC